TCGCCCAACATCAACGAAATTAGATAACAATAAGAATTCCAGTTTCGCCAGCAAATCATACAGCGATGTCCTGACGGAAAAATCTACCGAAGAATTTATAGATATCCTGTGGCGTCTGTAAATCTAATGGCATAAGAAAAATACTTGAAAAGATCATCAAATTGGCGCGTAAAAATTAAAACAGCAAGAACGATTATCGAAACAATTGAAACACTACTATAAACAGCAAGTTTTCTTAAGAAACTGAACAAATAAACTTCAGATTAATATTTTTAAATCAGTAGCGAGACGTTTTTCTTGCATTCTACGAGCTTTTCTAAATTTTTCACCCTTCGGGGAGGTGTATTTTTGCTGTTAAAATCGCGACTGACCTAGAGCACCCACATAAAGAGTGTAGTACTGGCGAAGCTGCAGTTTACAAAATAGGTTACAGGTCACATAGAGTATATAAATATTTTAAATAATAAATCAACAAATTCTTAGCATTTACAGTTCAACAGTACATCTTAGCATTTAGTTCTTATCACTTTCAGTATCTTAGTGTTGCTCTTAAGATTTCCTGAACTTTTTTACGATGTTCCGTCACTTTGGACTGGGCAAGGGAATTGATTATAACTATTTCCACAGTAGTCTAAGGGAAACAACGTCCTGCACAACCAACGTTTCGTATGATGAACGCCATCGCAGAATGAATTACGATCATTATGTCAAACACCACTATACTAATTCTTATGTCTGGTAATGCGACGATAATCTGTTGAAGGTCAATAGACAAACAAGTTTGGGACATTTCACAAAGCTTACGTCATTTACTTACACAACGAAAACGAATGCACAATGGAAGATGTGTGGTGGAGTGGTGTATTTCATTATGGCAAAGCACACTAGGGCTATCTGCCTAAGGGGAGGGATGCCTTCGTGGAGGACTTTCTAAGGGAAACTGGCTCGTATACACGTTACACATGGGGAAAACCACGAAAACGCCCATGCAGCCAGCCCGTTCGCGGGATTCGAACCTCACACAATGGAAGAAGTTGCTTTTCAGCAGACTAAGAGTTAGTGAGTCACATAAAAGCAAAACCTTGTGTAGTATAAAAATGTTGATTTTGCTATGATTACGTGCTAGATCATCGTCAGCATATTTAACTACAGTAATCAAATGCCAAACATCCATAACAAAATTCTTTTCTCATGCTTGTTGCCTTAATTAGCACCTTTTAATTTCAGATTTATACAGAATTATTCAAAGCTAGTAAATATTAAAATGAGACGAACTTCTAAAACAAAATTTGACAGCTCTTCTGTTAGCTAATCCCAAATAAATCAGCTTATTTAATGTACATTTTAAGCAGAAATTTTAAGATATATATAAAAAAACTATGACAAAACTTAACAACTATTTCATTAGTTATTCCTAAGACCTTTTTAGTGAGAATTTTGTGGGAAACTACTCAAAGTAAATATATGTTAAATAGATAAACAAATATGCCTGCTTTCCCCGAAAAAGACGGACGACCTCCGTATGCCCTTTGTTTAATAATCGATATTTTTACGCATTTTATTCAAAATATAAAGCAATTTAAGGTGACTTTTTTATCTAATTTTATATTTTACCATGGCTTGTTTCTCTTTTAATTAAACTTTACCGAAATTTACCCAGATTTCCCTTATTTAATATTTTAGAGTTCTTTAAATTTATTGAGAATCCTTGACTATTTGAATAGGAAGTACGCAATGCACGTACAGTTAAAACAATTCCAGAAGACTCACCCATTGTCACAAAACGTTAAGATTTTATTTTGCAATTATATTTAAGCTTTGCAGCTTGGAGAACTGGCAATGCGAATAGACTGGTGAAGAAAATCTTTCCCTCCTCTCGCATGCACGATGGTAATGGAATTTCACACAATGTTATTCACAGCTGCAAATGAACTATGATGCAACCACAAATGGGCGTTTCATGTAGTAAATTGTCTCCCTTGACATTCTCAGTCAAAAGACTTTGAACTCGACCAACATTTGCAAAATTTAAAATTCATGAGCAAGTGGCAAATGAACGGCCCTTTAATTGGACCCAGTAGCCAAGAATCTTTGCAAGGATCCGGGATTAAAATTACGGACCATAATGAAAGCAGAAGCAGTTCTGAGGTCGGTTTCGAGAGAAAATATTCATGAATTTCTTCTTCTCATTATGAAGCGTGATAAAGAAGAACTGAGAGATATGCTGTCCGAGCAGATGCATTATTGCGGTAGCTAATTTTGGAAGAACGCCCCCTCTAAATATTCATTAATGGGGGCAATGGAATATATCACGTTCGTCGTGCGTCCATCTTAATTTTCACTCCGATCAATCCGGAAAGGAATGAAGGTCGAAGTACTTTATGGTAAAGGTGAAGGAATTCATTCGAACATGTTGTCACAAACAAGAGGAAAAATACTCTGAAGAAAATAATACGCAGGTTTTCAATCCTTCAGCAAGCGCTCGTATTTATTAAACTATGGGCGAATTGCCGTAAAAATCTCACTAATTTGTCGCATTTTAGTTGTTTTCCTTCATTTTTACACTGATACTTTCGTAACACATTGACTGCCTATAAATTGATATTTGGCGGTAAATTTTTATTTTAAATGTTTAGAATATTTTAAAAAGAGGCTATGGCACTAAGACTTATTACATATTAAATTGAAAACGCTGAGAACATGGCTAGAAACGGCAGACGGGAAAGAGAGCCTGAAATTACCTTTCATTAATACCATCTGGGGGGCGGACGACCATGAAAGTTACTCTGACACTTAAGAATTACTAAATAGCATGTTACACTTATTTATTTTAAATACTCGCCGGCTGAGGTAGTTTTTATCACAACATATGTATTTACAGATGAAGCGTCTACAGTTTCGATTTTTAACTAAAGTAATAACAATTTTATTTATTTGTTAAAGTAGAACCAAAATGAAATAAAAGTATGCATGAAAATGATTTAAATAAATATATCCCTGAAGCACTTTATATTTGTGCAATCTAATCTACGTTTTCTTTATAAAGTTATTTTTTTCATGAAATTATTTAGGCCCACCAGCGGCCGAGCGGTAAGAAGCTGAACACTGGTAGTTCGGTCCGCGGTTCGAATCCCGTGAACGGGCTGGCTGCATGGGCGTTTTCCCCATGTGTAACGTCTATACGAGCTAGTTTCCCTTAGAAAGTCCTCCACGAAGGCATCCCTCCCTTCAGGCAGATATCCCTCGTGTGCTTTGCCATAATTAAATAATCCAATTCAATCCATGAAATTATTTATTAAATTATGTCATATTCCATGACAGAACTTTCAGTTTAATTGTAAACATTTATGCGTGATTTTTCTGCATTGGAATAATTATGTGGCAAGAATATTTTTATACATGTTGTAAAATACTGTGTTGAACTCCTCGTTAAATAGATACATGTTGTAAGGGATAAAGACACTCGCTCTATATGTCATAATAGTCAACAAATCAATCTGGAAATCAGAAAGTCCTGAACACGAGTCGATATTAACAATACAGCCTTCTTTTTTCATATAACTTCATCCCAAGTCCCATCTGATCTGAAAATTATAAACAACAGTTATCCAAATTATAATTGGTAAACTTAAGAGATTTTAGGTGTCATCCCAGTCATTTCAGGTTGGAGGAAGGGATTAAGAATCAAATTGAACTATTTAACAACGGCAAAACACTCGGAGGTTTTCCACAAAGCTCCGAAAACGTAAAGTAGGTAGCTCATTCTACTATCAAGAACCTTTTAGAACTACTCTAGTTTCCAAACTTTAAGCAACAAATGGAAACTAATGATAACTCAAAAATGGAAGCAAAATGATGATAATATTTATTATACTACTTGTAATTTAAAAACTCAAACATCAACAAACATAAAAGTATCCTAAATTTGGATATACAAATTAAACACAAGAAGAAAATTTCTCGGTAGTGAGTATGATGATCCCGAACAGAAATTACAGGCCTGACAACAACGATGTCTCATGCTGTTTCTGATTGAATGAGCTGCATGGGTAGCAATGCCCATTAATAACATAAAGTAGTCTTAAACTAAAGGAAAGCTTTTGGAAAGGTGTCGGAGATCAGTAATAGGCCTCTGGAAACATCATGCACATGCTCAATGGGATTGAGGTGGGACAGCACGCTGACTATTCCATTTAGACTATAGTTTATTTTTAAAAAAATTGGTGCGTGACACATGCAGTGGGAGGGAGGGTATATCGTTTTGCAAAATGAAAGATCTCTATTTACGGCAGCATACGGTGCAACAGTGGGATCCAGTATGTTGTCTCTGTGCTTCTTAGCATTAAGAGTTCCATGTGGCTGCACATACAGGTCCATGCGTCTACCTATACAGGTCCATGCGTCTACCTAAAGCCTCCTGTCCATACAAGAACACTATCTCCTGCATAACTATATTTTTCCCGCATGGTTAGGCGGAAGATAGCGAATGTTTGCTTTTCACACTTTGGAAACATGTCGAGAATCACTTTGTAAATCACTTTGTAAGGACTAATCCGTGAACAGAACAGACCTCCACTGATTTTCAGTCCAGTTAACATGACTACGAGCCCAATTCAAATGCTTCCTCTGGTGGCGAAAGGTAAACGGGATGCACAGCACATTTTTTTGTTACTTTCCTCAACCTCCTTTAGTATATTGAGTCTCTGCAGTATGAATTTCATGCATCTCAGTTAACTTTTTCTTGAATTATGACCAAAATCAGAATAGTTGCTTAAGATATGGACACTAGTGTAATTGGCTAACTTGAGTTTTTTACGATTGAGGATGAGTTTTGGCTGTGTTTTTAAATGTTGGGAATATATTCTGAGCCAGATATCTCGCTCTAATTATTTAAAATAATGAATAGTTGTAAAAGCTCAAAATAAACTTCTTGAATATTTTACTAACCCGAGACGGTTTCTCCCACCATAGCAAAACTTAGAACAAAAATATGTACTTACCTTTGAATCAAAGATTTGCTTACAGAGGGCACAGCGATAAAGATGGTAAGCGTGGACATCCATCAAATGTTTCTGGAGTTCGTCTGGTTTCTGGAAGAGTTTCATGCAAGACTGACATCCGTATTCTGTGGTGGCAGAAAGGAAATGGCTCGTCACGTGACTTTCCAGCAGTGACTCATTCCCGAATTCTGCATTACACTCGGGACAAGTATAGCGCTGTAAGGCTGTTGAAGTTGTTGAAGTAGGGACTGCTCCAGAGACAGAAGCCGCTGCTGCTGCATCCAGATGACTCTTGAGGTGCGTCCGAAATGACTCGAAGTCCTGAAATCCAGCATTGCACTGACTACAGAGCAAAGTGGTAGCACTGTTAGCCGGATTCTGGCCTAGAGTACACACAATATTATAAAGTAAGCTTTTTGGAATTGAAGACAATTATACATTGAACAGAATATTATTTAGAAATATAGAAAACGCGAGGAAGAAATCTGTAAATTGTAAGTTCAGGCATTTGAGGGTTAGATATAAATTTGATGACATAACCACAATTCAGTGAAAAAATTCAGTAAATATATAAAACTAAATCCACTTGATAATCCCTTGCAGTCTATCAAAAATTATTTAGCCATTTTGTTCATTATGTTGTAAGAAAGATTTGCATATTAAAACATGACTTGACAATAAGTTATGCTACTTTTATGCCTTACAATCTTCGTGAAATTCTTATTAGAGGTAGGAGCAACAGTCGGAAAATCTTGTGGACCTTTAAAGCTGCTTATACATCAGTGAAGTTTATATGCTTTTGGTACAAATATAAGGCGCTCATGTGATTAGGACTATTTAACCAATGTTCCCGTAGTTTCTTTATCTAAGCTTTTAAATACTAAGATACTATTGTGACTTTTCAAAAAGCACTTCAGAAGCAAATCTCACAGAAAAAATAGCAAGCATTATGCATTTGTCTTTGATTTTAGCTTGTGGAGACAGAATTTATGAAACTGGAAGTGTGAGAAAACACCTGTGCCTTTGCCGGAATGCGAAACTTTGACCTTCCTCTTCTGAGCTAGACATGCTACTTACACTACGAGCATTCGAAAGGAGGAATATGACAATTTCTTACATAATCCCTTTCCTTATTACAATGCGACTGGGGTTAAGCATGACACCTAGTCAATCAAGTGCAGGTTTGTAACGGTTTATTGTTGACCATATTTTAGTCTGTGCTCGATTGCAAAACATTTTAGTAATTTTGGTGTGAAAAACGTGAGAAATCAACAGTACTGTCACTGGAGTCTGAACCACAGGGTTAAATACACTGTGCTAACCACAGTTAAATACCCTATACTTTAAACAACGGGCCAATAGTATTCGGAACTCTATCCGATTTTATTAACCTGTAAATAACTAAAGTTTTCGAGCTTATAATGAAATTAAACGTTACTAGATATTAAATAGGCGGTAAATTACTACCCTTGTTAATTAAATTTGCTTTATCTTTTTATGAGATATTCGAGGAAACAACAAAAGCTGTTAAAGTTACGCTCTACGTTACGTTACAACAAAATGCGGTAGATCTTTTCTAAGACGATTAGCCAGCTTTTACATAATTTTGGTGCCCCGTGGAAGCAGTTACTTTAGAGAAGTCATGATAGATGTTTAATTAGATTCTCGCGATACTCATGATTTCAAGAGATGAATATATTAGTGAGGTGATCGCGACGATAGGATTCATTCCATATACAAACAGGATTAAAAACACTTAGATTTACATCGCAGCAGGAAACCTAAAAAAATCAGAAATTAGCTCTTATCCACATTACACATGGGAAAAAATCTCAGAAACATCCATGTAACCAGCCCATTTGTCTGGATCTAACTTAGGTCAAACTATCAGTGTTCAGTCTTTTTACCGCTCGGACGCTGGTGGGCCTCGTTGGATTTCGAACTCCGGGCATGCCGAAGGAGCTCCTAATTACATTAAGAACGCACGTAATAAGAAAGTAGAAAATTCTTTACATTTTCCCCAATTGAGGCGGAGGGCATCAGTTGCCAAATTCAGGTGAAGAAGAAACATTTTAATTTGAAGAACACTTGTTGAATCATTTTTATTTCTTAGAGCCGGAAAATACAAAAATTATGATTATGCTTTCATATGGATTCGAAATGCGGAGCTTTCGATTGTCAGCTGGGCGTGTGTTCAATTAAACCATGTACACATGCGATGATGAAGAAAAAATTCTTTATAGATTTTTTTGGTAATTAACCAATTCTCGTTTTGAGATGAAATCGATAGTCCTTTAGGTACAAAAACTGAGTTTTGTCTAACAGACCTCTTTTGGAATACAAGACCACTTAGGCAACTATAAAATTATGAACGCAGCAGCAAAATCAAAATGAAAGCTTTGGCAATAGCACCAATGAACGTCTTCACCACAAGATAGCCACACCAATTAGCTAGTTAATCCAGTTTCATGCAAGACCTCAAGCTGAACATATTGCCTCTATAATTCAACCATCTACTTTGACATTCTGAATACTAAAGACCATCATATTATTAAATAATTTCTCTTCCAATTCACCGTCCATCCTGCATCCCAAGAGTATACACTCGAGATCAGAAGCTGGAAATTTCGATTATACTAACCTGCTCCTAGGCTTCCCTGCCCTCCGCCAGGATCTTGTCTTCTATAATGAGAACTTGTGCTGCCATTGAAGACTGCTGAATGAGTTACTAACATACTGGACGATTTTAAGTGCTTCGTTCCATTTGGCCTCGTGCGAGAACTGGCCAGGGACCTATTAAAAAAAATAAAGTGTTACCTTCTTCTACACGCTTTAAGAAAACAGTCATGTGAATAGGCTGCTAATTTCTAGCTGATTATGATTTTCAATGTTTACGCATTCAATATATACACAAATGAAAAATATAAAATTTTAATCCTCCTTTCTTGAAAACCCGGATGTGTACTCTCACGAGTAGGATCGCAGATGATTATTGTCCGAGTTACGGTTTTGTTTTGATTGGAATAGAATGTTTTAGTTCCTAGTTTTCATTTTAACATCCACATTAAGATCTCTTTCAATTATATCGGAATGTAGAGCTACGTATACTGAGATAATTTAGTGAAAATACGATTTTAAGAATTAATACAAAAGTAAAACTGAATTGCTTCAGATAACTGCATTTTTTTCTGATTATAGACAAAAGTGGATATCTCGTTTTCAAGTCCTAATTTACATCATATACATAACCATGATGTATAACTTGATTAATTTGAAGCATTATTTGTAAAGAGCGCTTCTATTGAATATAACATATTTTACAGGAACATATGTCTTATGCGCAACCTGGTATAAGCAGCTGATTTAGGAATAACCTAACTGTCGACTTCGGCATAAAATGTTTTTACGATTAATAATTCGAAGTGGCGAGCTTTTTCACTTCCTACCGCCTAGTGTATGTAATAAAATCATTGCGCTAGACCTTTTCGGGTGACTGAATTAAACAGAAATATTTTCAGTCCACTTCATATAATACGTTCTTCACTGTCATCTCACAACATTTTTTCACCTCACACTTATCCCAGCGTTCCATAACACCTATTCCAACAATCACTGTCGAAGGTCGTGTAAAGCTTATGTTAAAATTCTTACATAAATCCGTATGTATCACAGAATATTTAATACCAGTTATAGTTTAGAATTTCAAAATTACCTCTTGCTAGAATGGTTGCTGACTGGTGAGGATGAGGATCGTGACACATTTGGTCCAGAAGTTTCGTGTACCATCTGCACATGGTCCAGGAGAGCAGCGGATGAAGTGAAACCTATGTTACACTGAGAACAATATATGTCACTAGGACGTTTCAGCATTAGGCTCTCCCCCAAAGCAGCATGCTTCTGGAGCATGTGTAAAGCCGAGAAGCTGGAATCACAATCCAAATTGGGAAATCCTAACATATTTTCTAAAAGTAAATAGAAAGATATTATTTTTACTATGTACATAAACGATTTTCAATAATGTCTACATTTTATATTTCAAAAAGGTTTTATTTAAAATTATTCTTTAAAAATACAAATTCATCCTTCGAAGCTCCAAATTAACGTTTTCTTGCTTGTTATATAGTTTGAAAATGCTTAATGATAGACAAGGTGCTTAAAAGGTTCGATAAAAGGCTTTATTTCTTTAAATAGTCCTTGAAATGTCGTTCAGAATCTTATGAATAGAGTCTGCCGAAAATATGGAAGTTCAAATTTCCCCAGGCAAGCAAAGAACGCATTATTAAACTGTTTAATATATTTAATTAGAATAATAAAAAATTATAAAGATTAATAAAAAAGAACTTTTTGTAGAAGAATGCGAAAAATGGACAAAAAAGTTTAGTAAATGGGCTCATTAAAAATAAAGAAATAAATTACCTATTTAATAGTAAATATTTGTTTAATCTAGAATAAAAAATTATTTCTTTTTAAATGGTCACACTGAGGGCTTGCGACGGGCAGTGCTGCGATGCAGAACGTTTGTATGTCTATGAAAGTTAACATTCATCGTCTACCTGTACTTGAGGTAACTACTTTTTTGTTTTCTTGATTTTCAGAATATGACTTAGTAATATTATTTTAAGTATTTTTAAAAGCTTTTTCTCCTTTTCTTCCTGTCTGTCTTTCTCTCTTTTATAAAATGAGAAATAAAAGCTGTATATCTAACATGTAACCAAAAGTTCGATTCTCTCTTCCTAATAGTTGAGGTTTAGATCTCCCATTCTGAAGAGTTATTTTTCTTAAGTTGATTTATTACTTTTTCTTTTGCACGCTTTTAAGAGAATACTTTTCATCTGTAGTAAACAATGCTAAATATAAAGTAGATACATAAGATTGAGAGAGACTGAAAGAACAAGAAAATATTCTACTTAGGTTATTGCAAGAATAACTTATTTTTACTCTAAAAATCAGGCAATGATGAAAGTTCAATATATAGTGGAAGTCTGTGGACATTCTCTAAGAATATAATACCAAAGTGGTTGAAAACAGCTTAGATGATAAACGGCTTCCTATAGATGAGAGTTATACGGTATTCAAGATGAAGAACCCTTTGTTGTAACTTCAAGATTAAATTTTTAAATTATACCGCTCGAGTTAGATTTCGCACGTTATGCAGTAAAATATTTAGTAAATTTAATTCACTATATTAAAAATGTCATTATTAAAAAGTTCTGAAGAAATTAAATAATTATTTACCATTTTCAAAATCGCGTAAATTAAGCTTTGTGAAAAACTTCTGTGGCCCTTTTAGAGTAAGAAGATTTACTGCAATTTCTGTCTACGTAGTTAGTACATTAGCAAAACTCCTTTCTCATTAGAAAATAGTTAGTCCTTTTTGTAGTCTTTATATCGATTTCTTCGATTGATGAAATTCACGCTGCGTTTTTCATGTCATATATATAATACATATCCTAAGTATATATATATATAATACATATCCTAAGTCCATATATATATATATATAGCATTTTTCTTATGTAGTTATTTTGACACAAAATCGGACTTTTTCTCAAATGACATGCCAATTTTTTTTCCATATTTTGATTCTATGACTCAAATTATGCCCAAAATATTAAACTTTGCAAAACTAGGTGCGAAATTTAAGGAGAAATTCAAAAATTTATCTTGGTGTGTTTTTCAGTTTGCGCCAAGAATAATTCACATGATGAACTTCTTAATTCATGGCAACTTATTTTCCTTTCCCTTTTTACATTGTGCATGAACGGAAAAAAGTCACATCGTTTCTAGTTTCAAATAATTTTAACAAAGTGCCTAAACCACATTTGATGTCATTATCGCTTTTAACGACTATACCAAATTTCAGAACACGCCAGTATATAAAGTCACATATACCTTCAGAAACTTTAAATAAAAAACTTTAATAAAAAATTTTTGAAAGGTATGCTTAGAAATACATCTACTTTAAGACGATGGTAAAAATTTTACAGATTATAATTAAAAATTTGTTTAAAAGTACAAATTTAAAAAATGAATCATAAAAATTTTACGAAATTTAATATTTAGGCATAATCTGAGTCTTAGAATCGAAATATGGAAAAAAATGGCTTGTCATTTGAGAAAAAGTCCGATTTTTTGTCAAAATACCTCTATTAGAACAATACTATATACTAATTCCAAAACATATAGGAAGTCGCGCTATCGAGACATGAAAAACGCAAGTCCAATTTCGTCAATCGGCCCAGTAGAACGGGAGATAAAGAACTGTCCCCATTTTTTTTTCTTTTGCGCAGTGTACCAAAAAGCAACTTATATTAGTAAATTTACAATGAATATTTTAGCATATTTTGCAAGTTTAATATATGCACAAAAAGTGTTTTTGCCAAATTAAAACACAGTTAATCATTTACTAATTGAAAGTTGATTAATATATAAAAAATCATAGATTTACTTTTCTAAAATAATACCTTAACAACAAATTTCAGACTTTTTTCATAAAATTCTGCACGTTTTTTTTCTGAGTAGCTTTGTAATAGTACATATTTATCTGTGAATTTAATATTCTACGAAATTACGCTTAGGACTTCTCTTTTCCAATTGTTTTATACAAAACACACATTACTTGTAGGAACTTACCTGCATGTGAATTTGGGGGCGGACGCTTATGTAGCAAGGACTGTAGGGAACGGATAGAAGCCGCCAGAGCACTGTCTGTCCCTCCAGTCGGCACGTGGAGCACTTGTACGTGGAGCTGCAAAGATTCGAAGCTAGGGAAATCGGACTTGGAACAGAACCCGCAGGTTAACTTCATACTCGGAGAAAGCGATTCAGAAGTTTTAACGTTGTTACAATCAGGAGAATTCTTTTCTCTCTCAATTTCCGTATTCACCTGCAAGGTAACAAGAAATTTAGATTAAGAAGAAAAATGTAATTTAACCGTAAAGACTTAAAAATGCAAATGACTCTTTATACAAAGCAGGGGTTTAGACCGCCGATACTCGTCTATTAGAGAGCAGATTCGTTTTTGACTTCTCCGAAACCTGATTACGACTAACAGCCTATGGCTAAACGGAAACTGTTGGTAGTATTAGGTAATCAATTAACGTATATTTAGCGTTTTATATGCATTAGACACCGCTTCCTTACAAAAACACAATATTAATTTTCTGCATAAAAATGTAAAAGATTTTGTTACAGATTTATATGCACTTTGTTATATAAAACTAGCGGAAGTACCCGATGCCAGTTAAGTTAGATTGAGAGTAATGCCTCTAACAACAGAGAGAACAATATCGCTGTAACCCTTCTCTAATAATGGTGCAAAAAATACCTTTCATAGTCATACTTTTTTCAGTCTGATGCGATATGAAAAATTTCGATAGAGAGGTAAGCTAATTCTCTCTCATTATACCAACAACAATGGCACGCAGGTTTTAATGATTTTCGTCTTTCTAATCAAGTGGACGTAAATGCTCAAGTTCCATTCAAAATTTCTCCTATATTCGATTTTCGTCGATTAAATGTGGCAAAAAATTCATCATAATGGATCAGAAATCAATAAAGCAAACAACCACACTGACATTCTTCTTTATACATTTAGATTTCGCAAAACTTACAAATTTTTGATTAACAGACTCTACGATTTGAAAGTGAGCAGTAGCAACACTTTTCGAAATACAGCATTTTTATCTCCAACGCGTGAGATTTTTGCCACTCGGAAAAATGAGTATGAAAATTAGCGCTTTCAGACTTTTTAATATTTCGGCTGATGAAGATGAGAATAGCCGAAATGGCTTCCCACGAATTTTTGGAATCGGGAATAATGTATTTAATCTTTGACAACACTATCTTTATTTTATCGTAAAACTTAGAAATTTTTTATGAACAAACACTAGGATTTGAAAGCGAGCAGTGGCAACAACTTTAGAAAAAGCAGATTTTCATCTCCAGCTTCCGAGACTGTTGCCACTCGGAAAAATGAGGGCGAAAATTATCGTTTTTCCGAATTTTGAATTCATATCTCTGATTATAGCTACTTTTTTGGGAATACATGGACGTCGACCTTTTCCAGGACTCAGAAAAGAATCGTAGGAAGTATCACGACGACAGCTATAGTGACAGAGTTATTAGAGGACATACACACAGACTTTCTTCTTTATATATATAAATGTTAAAGAAACTTCAATTTGTATATATTTTCACGCACTTATAATATATGCTCCATAATCTTTATTTTACTTTTGATATTTCTGTAGGTTACGTGAGAATTCTGTAGTTCAAAAGTATTTCTGATCTATTGATTGAAAAAAAAATGTTTCTCTGTAAGTGGAGTCATGTTGTTAAAAGCGTGATGTTCAGAGACCAATTTAAAAGCTAAAAATTAGTTTAACTTTTAAAATACACCTGTGACAGAATACAAATACTTAGATATAATTTAAAAAAGAAGCAAAATATTGTTCAAAGGTATTTAAAATAACTTGTTCTATCGAAGGATTAAGTAGGAATAAATTAGAACGTATTACGAGAGTTTTGAATTTCTTCTGTGGGATGTTCTCAACCAAAACTGGGACGAAAAACACGTATTGTTTGCGATAATTCCAAACTCTGTGACCCAAAATCCATTCACAATTGATTGGCCTGGCTGCCTGATAAAATACCACGGAATCATCTTAAATATAATGGACCACGTTTCATCATGTATGTATGAAACTCAAGACATTGGTTTCAGAGATGATAAAAATGCACCTTGTGGTAAAAAAATTCCATTAACCGTACACAGAATTACTTTATCACCTAACCATATTGAAAGAAGAACGAAAATATTTAAATGCAGTATTTTTTTTTATAGTGAACCACGGTTTTACTATTGTCGTTTCTAAACGAAATAACCAAGTTTTCTAGCGCTTTGGACACTCAGTGTTATTATTAAGTTAATTTTTACGAACTGAAAGATCATCAATAAAGTATCTTCTAGGTTACGCGCATGCATACGGCATATATCGATTAGTGCAAAACTGCATATATGTTTTTAATTTACACGCAAATAGCTAAATATAGAATATCCTCACGCATAAGTGGGAAGAGAATCTATGATGATATTGTACGTCTTACAACATATCTGAAAAATCTTAAGCCTGAATTTATAAATAGTCGAGATTCAAAGCTTGATCACTGTTTAACTTTCTACAGTTTAACTTTCTTTCGACGCTGTAGCTCTCTTTAGCACATTCATAAAGTTTCTAGTTTGGTAGCCAGCCACCCGAAACAGTGACTATGAAAAAGAGAAGGATATAATGATTTTAATGAGTAAAGTAAATGCTATTTAATAAAAATATTTAATATTTCTAATTAGAAATATCTTGATTTTAATGGTACTGATTTAAATCAATCACATTAAAAAGTAGGAAAAAATATTCTTAAGATGTGTGTTTAATGATTTTAAATCATTTAGTTTATAACCCAAATACTTTCCAGATTAACTTTGAAAGTATCTTGGTCTTTACTGAATGGAAATGCACTGGCGCCAGGAAGATAAAATCATTTTATTCCCGGCAGTGGCAACACATTTCTTTCATAGAGATCAGTTTGTTAATTAAAAAGATAAACATCTTATATTTTTCCAGACGGCAACAGCCTTGCGGGCGGGAGATAATAATGCTAAGTTATTGGGAATTTGATGCACTTTAGGTATCGTCGTTTTTTTTCTCAATGCTAGGAACAGTTTTACATACATGTAGATTCTTCATTATTAAATTTCTTTAAAATAAAAGTAATACAGGGCGATAATATTTGGTGGCAACAAATTGAAGAGTGATACGCCGTGTATAGTGAACTAATGCAAAATGCCATTTCGAAACTAATAATGGAAATTGCCTTTTGGACTAATAATAGGATAACTGATTATTTAGCATAAAACGTTACGACATAATCATTAACTGCGGAAAATAAATGATTCATTGTTAGCATTATCACTAATTATTAAGTATTAAATGATCAATCTATGGCATACCGCTAATTACTAAGTTACAAATTATCCCCCTCTGGAACTGTCTCTAACTATTTAGTATTAAATGATCCACTGAGAAATATTATCATTAATTATTGGCTACTAATATGAACCATAAGTAAAATTATCACTAATTACTACGCATTTAATATTCCATCAATAGCATTATCTCTAATTAACTAAGCAGTAAACATTAAATATTTCATCATTAAGATTATCACTAGCTACTGAGTAATAAGCGATGCATCGATTCCATTATCACTAACTTACCCATCAATAGGAATGCAACTAATTCCTTGATACTGAATTATGCACACTTAGCGTTATCACTAATTTCACTAATTACTAAGCATTAAATGATTCACCAATGGTATTATTACTAATTACTGAGTGCCAGCTAATCTATCGATAGTTTTATCACTAAATAGTAAGTAATAAATGATTTATCAATAGAGGTATCACCTTTTTGTGAGGACAGATGGCATTGGGCGACGAAAGTTCATCCAGACACTTGAAGCAGTTCCTGGTGGAAGGAGGCCGGGGAGAGAGAGAAAGAGAGGAGGAGGTGGTAGTGAACGTTCGGTGACTCTGTAGAACATGTTCACCGAGAGCCGTAGGAGACGAACACACTTGGGGACAGAAATTACAAAGCAGTGGTTTTGGGGGATCAGGAGAGTCACCATCCCTAGTGCCATCTTTCTCACACTAAAAAGTAGGAAAATTGAAAATAAGTTTTAAACAAATATAAAATGTGCGATCTTTTGCCTTTAAAATTCGAATGCTGTATCCACAGTACAGGCATATCTCATTCATCCTGTATTTCACAGACACTGCGGGATTTTTTTTTTTTTTTTTTTTGTTTTTGTTTTTGCAAATCAGTAATACACTAAGATAAGATACACTAAGATAAGATATATCTTTATCTTAGTGCGTCATAATTCATTTATTCTCACAATATTTAAAACAATTTGCAGCATTATTATATTGAAATTTGATCAAATAACTCTCGCGAGATGGCCTTTAAATATCCTGAGACCATAGTTGTATTTGTTATTTAATTTTGTATACGTATTATTAAAATTATCGATAATTATTAAATTGTATATTAAAATTGTAACTCGTATTATTAAAATTGAATTCAAAGAAATACTGCACGTCTAAACAAATCGGAAGCTAAGTCCTCTAGATCAAAAAAGAGTCGAGCAGTATAAGCACATGAAAGAACTTTGAAGAAAGTTAAAAGTGCTACACTGGAGAAGACATGAATTATAAAGAGAGAAACAGGAGTTCCTTTCTTATCACGTAATACAAATACGTAGCTGAGTGTAATCAACTCACTGATTAATTTTTAAAAAATGACTCTGTTGCCCTATACAGCTTTAACGATCCGCTTGTAAAACACGATATATGCTACTCAAAACTACAAACACAACTTATGTAGGTGATACAAGTATTGATATTGGCTAAGTTTCACAGAATTCTGTAACAACTTGCGATGTCTTTCCAAGGAGCGTCTATGATACCACACGATACTGGAGTTTTTCCCGACTTCGAATGCAAAAATGGTAATTAAAAAACCACATGATTTCAATTGTATGAAACTATTGCCTATATCGATCCAAAAATAAAACATCATATGAAAAAGGACTCTGTTGCCCTATTAGACAAGTCATCTTGTAGAGACATTTTTGGAAGCAGGCAAGATGAAAAATGAGCAATCGTCTTCACCGGGAATTGAACCACGGACCTCTGGAATACCGGCCCAGCGTGCAGGACCAGTACACCACGAAGGCAGGTTAACAAACAACAGGAGTTTTGCATTAATTATTGCTGATATTGCCAAGTTATGCGACTACTGCATATTATTATTTATTTTAATGCAGTTATATTAATGGATGGAGATGGCTAAGTATTTTGTAGAATTCGTGGCACTATATGACACATTCGGTGCAGTAATTTTTATTCTCAGACTTGACAATAGATAAAATTGTGTGTGCTATAGCCTTGTTTTTTGTTGCCTTTCAAAGATAGATATAGGTAGAAGCTAGGCAATCGCTTATATAGGGCCACGGATTGCTTGAGGTATTGCTGAACCAATTTAGAAAGACAGTAAGTTCCTAAAATGAAACATATCCAAATTGATCACTTTTAACGTGTGGTCCCATTTAGAGAGGAAAATTTAAATTTTAAATAAAAACACAAATTTTGTTTTGAGAAAATACCAAAGCTTCGATCTAATCATAAATTAGGTATGCTGGAATTATGTATGGAACAACATATTTGTACAACAGCCCTCTCAGCTTTGCTGGTAAATTTGAGATCTTTTGATGAAATTTTCAATTACGATTTGGCATAACTGACTGGATATCAGTACAGCATCTGTTCTCCTCCTTTAAGTGTCGCGAGGTCGTTGACAAAAACATTTGACTTAAAACAGAAAAATGTTGTTTAAAAAAGAGAGAAAGATGCCTAAAGGCGTTCAATCGCACGATCTAGGTAACCAATTTTGGCTGCCAAAAATGGGAAACTACAAGGCCGGAGAATATCTCGTTCAGTAATGTTACTATTTCATGGGGATCAGTGGCAATAACATCGTCCTAATGGATCCAAATGTTTGAAAGACACATATGTCCATTTGGGGCACAAAAAAAAATTGAATTATGCCTCGATACCATTTGTTATTGACTGTTGTGCATTCCCAGCAACATCTTCGAAGGAGCGTTGTCCAATGATGCATCCAGCTCAAAATTCGGCATAAACGGTGATACGTTTAGGATAAATTTCATTCTCATGAAACAAATGTTTGTTTCGTCATTCTAAATGTGGCAAATTTGCTTTTTCCCGAAGCCATCAACATAAAAATGAGCCTAATCGCTGAAGTGACTGTTCATTTCTGAAATAATGCTTAACAATAAGATTGCTCTGTTGTATTGAATATAGAGCCATTTTTTATAATGACGGACTGTTTACCAACGAACCTTTATAATGGTTTTCTTGTTAAAGCCCAACAGCAAAAAGAGAGACAAATTTAAATTTTTTGCTCTTGTTGAGACATCTTTCATTAGTGGGCCCTCATGAGATCATAGATATTGTTCTTTATTAGGAGTTGAAATGGGAAAGTATTGTTCTTCTTCAGGGTGCAAATGATTCGAAAAGTGTTCCTTAATGGGAATTCACTGTTAATACAGTTTCGACTGCTTTAATGTTTGGTGAAAATACATTCTAATTTAAACTAATCTCCATTAACAAAGGTTATTGAGATCATAAATCTTGTTCATTATTAGGATTTGAAATGGGAAAATATTGTTCTTCTTCTGCAAGGTGCAAATGATTCGAAAAGTATTCTTTAATGGCAATTCGCTATTAATACAGTTTTGGTTGCTTTAGTGTTTGCTGAAAATACATCCCAATACAAACTAATCTCTGTTAACGAAAGTCTGCTTTAACGGACACTTCCTATTAACGACTAACTCTTGAAAGGGTTTGGTTTGTTTAATTACGGCAAAGAACTCGAAGGCTATCTGCCTAAGGGGAGGGATGCCTTCGTGGAGGACTTTCTAAGGGAAACTGGCTGGTGCAGACGTTACACTTGGGTTAAACCATGAAAACGAACATGCAGCCAGCCTTTTCCGCAGGATTCGAAACCCGGACCGAACTCCCAGTGTTCAGCGACTTTACCTTGCGGCTGTTGGTGGGTCCTTGAACACCAATGCACTCCCATTTAGCGGACAGTTCCTAATAAAGGACAGCTACCTTGTTTCTTTGAGTATAACACTACAAGAAATTTGGTTGCATTTTTTTTTCTTCTTGTCCGTATGTAAGCCTGTATGTCTGTCCGTAAATAAGTGTAAATATGTTTTCCATTACAAACAGAAACAAGTTAGACATCGTTCTAGCATGAAATATCCAATATATTTTTCGTCTTATAAATCTTTTATTTTCACACGTTATAATTTTTGAAGCTTATATAAATATAGCATTCTACTGGAGGACCCTTATTTCAGTTTTCGAGGGCTTTTAGCATCTTGTTCACGGAAAGTTTTAGCAATATATCAATTGAAGAAGACCACTTATTTTTTATATTTATCGCATTTTTTACATTATTTTCTAGATAATTGCAACGTATATGAGTTTTGCTAAAATTCTTTTATTATACTTATATTTTTTCAGCTATGAAATTCCTTCGTTATTTCTTGTGGAAAATTAATTATGCATTATGATTATGCATCATGACCTGATTATTACTTAGTTAATCATCTACTAAAAATGTCGTTGGTTACAGCCATTAACCGATTATTCGTTCGTTGTAAATCTGTGCAAATAAAATTTGCAGACGGGTTATTTCCTTTTTATAGCTCGGCGGTCGGATTCGAATCTCCGGTAAAGTTTTAACTTCTGCATTTGTAGAGGCTTTACTGTATAAAGGTACTAGAAATCTGTAGAATCGAAACCTTTTCAAGAGGCTATTCGTAGAGGAGAGCTACGAGAATACCGGATAATTCATATCTGTACGCTGCATTTATTGTATCTGAACATCAACATAAAGCACGGTATTTTAATTTTAGTGTAAGCATTTAGACTTAATACTTTCTGCGTTTCTGTTTCCAGAAAGAAATGCTTTTCTGTTCGTACTGTTACAGATAACCGTATCAGTAATATAACAGTATATAAGTTGTTTTGTTTATTGGTATTTCTTTAAAAGATCATTTATTCGTGCATTACATTTACATTGTCACTTGTGCTATCTCCACAATAATACTGCCGTGCGCCATGTATACTCATTGCCAAATACTTCAGTGCATATAAATTCTGGGTACATAAATTACACTCACTATAGTGATTTTATACTGCAGTATAAAACTGCTGTACAATTTTATCCGTCAGGATTAAATTCTGTTGCAGCCTTTCTCTGATGCTTCTGTCTTTACGTCAAACTCCAACCGGAGCTCTAAATGTAATCTCTAATCTGATATTTTTATTTTTTATCGATTTATCATTAACTTAAAACTAATTTATTAAACTTAGTTTTTTAAAGCTTATTTAATTTTCTTATTCGCTATTTATTATTTCATTTTTTTATTTTTTCTCGAAGATGTCTTACAGGGCTTCGGCAATTTTAGAAATAAAGCTCTGATTACAATGCTAAGTTTTTTTTTAATTACGTTTTACATTGTGTTGTATGCTCAAGTGCAGGTAAGCTGCTCTACCAATGTAATAAAAGAGGTTATTCTCGAAAGCTCATGTAAGTAGCTTTCGTGTACTTTGTCTAAATCAAATAATCAAATCAAATCAAATTTTCTCTTACACTTATTACTTCTATAAAAATAAAAGATCAATGCAAATAGTGGTGGTGGTGGTAGTAGAGTTAATGGCGCAAATAACCAGAAAGGTTATATGTGCCAAACACATGGCAGAAGAACGATGAAAGAACTCGCGAAGTTTGTATGATACTCCAAAAGTATGCAGAAGAGACACTCCACACACAGATCCAGAAGCAGCAGATTTTAATAGAAAAATGAATAAAAAATTTTCGGGACCATTTTTCCTTTCAAGAATCTTTGAACCAGCTGTAAGAAGACGCATTCATTACGGTATACCGCTATAAAGGTGCTAGCACCTTTACGCAAGTCGGCAAACTTCCGGGGAAAAAAGTGCCCAGCCGTAAAGATGTTCGCCCTTTATACAGGGCGTTTATGAATGGTGCG